TCGTGGCGCTGCCACGTGGCGCGATTCCGCGCCTTCCACATTCCACCTTAGCCCTGCCCCATTCCCCGTCCCCCCATTTTTTCCCCATCCATGACATGTACCGCTATTCTAGATGAGCACGTCGTGCCGTCGCGTGCCGTCGCGTGCCGTCGCTTGCCGTAGCATGCCGTCGCGTGCCGTGGCGCCCGAGACAATTGAGAAGCCCGCCCCTTCGAAGGGGCGGCCGAGACAATTGAGAAGCCTGCCCCTTCGAAGGGCGATTTCAGGCCTGGGCGCGGGCGCGCGTTCAGAAGGGCCGAACCGGTCTCGCACGGCCCAGATTGCAGGCCGGTCACCACCTGCAGACGGCCCAGATCGCAGGCCGATGAGAAAATTTTCTCATTGGCCTGCGATCTGGGCCGTCCGCGGGTGGTGACCAGGCCGCAACCTGGGCCGGTAGATATGACGTTAGCGATTCTTATAGTATTGTAGATGTAGACGTAACCACCAAGCCAGCTGGAGAGGGGGGGGGTGGAAAGGGTTTTGTTAGACACATCTAAGCTATATTCTTCTCTCACATTTACCCTCCAGTACCTACCTACCACTCACAGTGAAAGGGACATTGCATGCCCTTGCCCTAGTGGTTTGGGGTGCAGGGTTGGTGCCGCCCGTGGGTGCCCGGCTAAAACAATGCCCTAAACCAGTTTCTTCTTTGCACCGAACTTGGCCCCAGAATTTCAAGTCACCTCACGAGGAGACTCGAATTTTTTGAAGAAATGGCGGTGTCAAGTTTCCAGGACATGTCCTGCCCTCGTCACCCGAAATAACGCCTGGGCATTGTATTCAGTAAACTGGTAGGAACTTCGGTGAATCAAATATAGCGCCCGGGTGTTCTACTCGAATTGAACGCCCCTGTGAAGAAGAGAAAAAAAATTGTGGTCTAGAATTGCAATGCAGACAACTCTTGGTCACGGGTCATTTCAGAGTTTCTTACTGATCTGAACATAAAATATAGAAAGAAAAATAAAAGTCCTCTGTGAAGTTAAAACCCCTTTCAACCCCCATAAACCCCACGTATACATCCCCGCCCCCCCCCCCCCCCCCCCCCCTCCTCAAGCAATCGACCGATGTCACATCCAGACACAATGCCCTGGAAGTGAGTAACGCCGGGGCATTATTTTCGAGTGACAACAGTGAACATGTTGTTTTCACGTTTGTTTTCTTTTTTCTTTTTGTTCTCTATTTTTTTGGGGGGGGGAACCATTTCTCGATTTATCAGGCCTGTGCCGTCAACCAGAACCATTTCTCGATTTACCAGGGCTGTGCCGGCAACCAGCCAGTTGGACCGGGCCAGTTGGAGCCCCAGTGGTCTAACCGAAATTCCGGTTGGGCCCAAAAGTGGGTCAATTTAAAAAAAAAAAAAATGAAGACATGGTTGGACTGCGAATCCGCAAAGAAAACATTGAACAGAGAAGCTTCGTTTGAGGGGGTGGGGAGTTTGTGGGGGGGGATTTCATGGGTTGGGGTTTCAGCAAGCACGGGCCTCAGCAGACAATTGACAACAACGTACCTGGCTTTCTGCAAACGTTAACCTTCTGCCCAAAAACTTTGAAAAGGGGGACGACACTAGTGGCAGGGTAGGGACGGTACTTCCCACCCAAGAACTTTGAAAAGGGCGGTGGGGGTGTTAGTGTTAGGGGGTGCTTGTCACTGCTCTCTGGTCCAAGTTGCCCTGGATACTGGTAGGGTGATGGTCCTGAGTGCTGGTCACGCTGAGGTAGGATAGTAGGGATAGGGGGTGCGCTGGGAGCATTAACGTGGGGAAGGGTAGGGAAGGTGGCCTATCCTGTCAGGACAACCACCGGCTGTCGCTGCCAGCGATCACCGTGGGTCTTGTCCTTAGCCTCTACAATACCCTGGGCTTAAAAAAAAAAATCTCTCTCTCTGCCTACGGTTTACCGGGCAGTTCTGTTTGTGACAATATATACCCCTCATTTGTTGTCCTCTTCTCCCTCTCTGCCTACGGTTTACCGGGCAGTTCTATTTGACGATATATATGTATGTATATATATTTAAAAAATAATAAAAGCTACGGCCAACCAAGGGGGAACCGGCCGGTAGGACCGGTCCGTTTCCAGTTGGGGGAGGCACCCCCGGTCCTACCGGGTTTACAGCACTGCGATTTATGTCTGCCATCCTTACGCAGGGGCCACGCTAATCTTGCCAGTATCATTTCAGGGCCATGCTAATCTTGTCTGTATCATTCCAATTTTAACGGATGTCCTCAGGACACCGTGGACCGACGAAAAAACAGCTTTCTAGGGTTTTTCTAGATGTGTCCGACGAGACCCAAAGAACAAATTGTAAACACGAAGGTGCAAAACACAAAGAAACGAAAAACAAAAACACAAAGGGAGGAGAAAGAAAAAAGGAAAAATGATGGATAGAGAGAGATTGACTCGGTAATCCCGACAGCAAGTGTTTGACCAATAACCAGGGCATTAGCATCGGCCCATCTTACAAGATAGAGAAAACGGATCATTCCGCGGCGAACTCGTGCAGCCGGAGCTTCCAGCTGCCGTCTCCTCCTCTCCCTCTGAGCCGCCGTAACATCCAATGGACGTAAGAGGCCCGATTCATCCTCCACAATTGCCTCCCAGGAGCGATCATTCTCGTATTCTCGCTCCCATGCCCTAAGATCATTTCCCGCCTCCTCTGCCTCGATCTCCGCGTCTTCATCATCCTCGAAGCCATACTTCTGTGCCTGTGCAGATGCAGCTGGCTTTGTCTGACTGGCCCTGCGCATGCTCAGCGCTCTGTTAAATGCAATGCGCGGAGCAGACCCACCACCTGTCGCCCTCTGCTCAACCCCGATCACAAAATCTGCTGCCAAGCAAACAAAGATGGCCCTTGCAAAACCGTTGGCCCTTGAATCTGTTCAATGTTCGATACCGCAATCTGACAACTCCACTATTTTTTTGTGACCTAAAAGCAAAAAGCAGAGCTGCTCCACAAGCCAACAAACAAACATAGGGGGAAACGCACAGAGATCAATGTGAAAAAGAAAAGAAAAACAGTTTAAAACACAGACCCAATCTACTGCACTTAATTGCCTCTGATGAGTCTGATCTAAAAGCAAAGAGCAGATGTGCTTCACAAAGCATGAAATAGAAATAGGAGGAAAAACACAACTTTCAATGTGAAAAGAAAAGGGAAAA